TAAAAATGTCGTTTCCGCCCAGATAAACTTTTAAAAATAATGTATTATTTTTCAAACGCTTTATTTTAACTTGTTATTTAAAATGTTTTAAGTGCAATGGTAAAATGACGGTAATTTGAATGATAAATTAAAGTTTTTTTTTTTTTTCCTTCCTGTCGTGTAATCGACTATTGTTTTCAGTGTCGACTAGTAGGAGCTGTACCGTTTAGTCGACTAGACCCGCACATCCCTACTGTGCAAGTAGTTTTTGAATATTTTATTATGAAAATCTTGCATACTGTGCCTTTAAGAGTTTCACGTGAGGGTGAAAAAGTGTCTTGTAACAGTTGCAAATTTCTTCAATGTCCCAGTGACAAATAACAATGTGGTGAATAAGTGATTCTGGATGTCGGTGTGAAGCAGAGGACACGAGCGAGGAAATCCTGGGCACGGTGCAGATCTGCTGGGAGAGTGAATCCTGGCTGCTCCGACAGAGAGATAATATATGTGTGTGTGTGTGTGTGGATGAGTAAGCACAGAGAGCAGCAGGAGAAGTGTGTTGGTGTGCATGAATGAGTGAGCAGAGGGGTGGAGGAGGGACGGCCGGTGCGTGTGCCACTCTGCTGGCCTCTTTTATCTGGTCTGCTGGAGCGATGTCAACAGAGGAGAGCGGGTGGCCGGCACGCTGCTGGAGATCAGCACAGACACACACTTGTTCAGTGTTGGGGAAAGTTACTTTTAAAAGTAATGCATTACAATATTGCGTTACTTCCTAAAAAAGAAACTAATTACTTAGTTACTTTTTATTGAAAGTAATGCGTTACTAGGCCTGTCGCGAAAGTAATGTGTTGCGTTACTTTTGCGTTACTTTTTAAATCTGGGCTGGGCTTGCTTGTTTGCTTTTAATATAAAAAGTTATATTTTTGGCAAATGTAAATTCACGTCTGTACAGTATACACAGAAGAAGAAAGTCCAACACTCTTCAGCAATAAAAAAAGAAGAAGAAATGTTAGTTACATTTAATTATTGCAGTCATTTGAGTCATATTCTGAGTTGCTTTTAACTGTTTTTATTAATTTTGAGGAAAACTAAATCTGAAAAAAACATTTTTTTTGAGTGAGATGAATTAAAGCATGTTCACATTTATTCTAGAACTAAAGTAACAGTTTACTCCCGATTTCTCTCAACAAGGGGACAGGAGAGCTTTCAATCAATAAATGGGAAAAAAAAGTAACTGGCATTACTTATTTAAAGAAGTAACTCAGATATTTTCTTGTAAATTAAAAAGTAATGCGTTACTTTACTAGTTACTTGAAAAAAGTAATCTGATTACGTAACTCGCGTTACTTGTAATGCGTTACTCCCAACACTGCACTTGTGTGACGGGGAAGCCCTGCTCTGCTGAAGACTCCGGATCATATCCAGCAACTCCACTTGATTAGTTAAACAACTGATTGATTGATATATGTATGAGAGGAACATTTAATTGGCTGCAGTAGAGCATACGAAATTTCTTCAAACACTGCAACGGTCAGTGACGTCACACTGACTCTGCAGCAGTTTTTTTTTTTTTTTTTAACTCCAATTCAAAACAGCAAATAGTAATAAATCCAAAATGTAAAAATGTATAATCTACTACACTTTCCTGCAACGCTGTAGTTTTAAATTGATGTGTTAATAATATTCAAGTGTTATTAAATTATTAGTGTAATCTAAATGTAAAAAATGAGAAATTAAAAAAACATTTGACTGATATGTTAAATTAAATATATATAAATCAAAACCACATTTTACCTGTATATTATGCATTCCTATCAGTTCATATTGATTTTTTTTATTATTAATTTATCTGTTAATGTACGGTCACATTAGTGAAATTTTGTAAAAAAAAATTGACCAAAAAAGTCTACTGTCAATAGTGTAGAGAGGCATGAAGCACAGCTCACACAAAAGTCGCTTTCAAACAAAGATACTCAGCTGTTACTGGTCAACATGGCACATTCACATGACCAGCCTACGAAATTTACAGGGGAAATCTTTCTCCCTCACACAAAATTCCCAATCATGTGGATTCCTATTCAGATGACTGGATTTCACCTTTGAAAACAATGCTAATTTATCATTTACTACAGTAACAATGATCCTAATAAATCGTTTGTTTACCAGATGTCATTTTAGAAATGAGATCCTGTGTCTGAATCTCCTGATGTCTCCTCTGACATGATGTTTCCGGTTTTCTTTGGTTTGTAGATGGGCATGGCAGGTGGCAACAGTCCGTTCGGTCAGTACCAGAGTGGAGGGCAACAAATGGGCACGACTGGCGTGAATGCTCAGAATAAAGGTGCCCTCCCCAACAGCCTGCCCCAGTTTCCAACTGACCTGAAGGGAGCGACGGTCACCAGCGTGCCAAACATGGTGAGTTTCCCATCACGCACACTAACAGGATTGAGCTGGCAGGTGAAAGCTGACTCTGTGACGCCGTGGCCGGTTCTCTCGCCCGCAGCCCCAGCAGCAGCAGCAGCAGGTGTCGGTGGGGATGGTGGCAGGTCAGGGCGTGTCCACGGGCCCCACGGCCGACCCAGAGAAGCGCAAGCTGATCCAGCAGCAGCTGGTCCTGCTGCTCCACGCCCACAAGTGCCAGCGGCGCGAGCAGGCCAACGGCGAGGTGCGGGCCTGTGCGCTGCCCCACTGCAGGACCATGAAGAACGTCCTCAACCACATGACCCACTGCCAGGCCGGTAAATCCTGCCAAGGTGAGTCGACGTTAAACGCCCGTCGCCAGAGCTCAAACGCTGAGTCGACGTTAAACGCCCGTCGCCAGAGCTCAAACGCTTGCCGGATAACGTAAGGCTTTTCCACATGATTCACGAACACGAGTGTCACATGCTGCTTTGACCTCAACATGAAAAGTTGTGCAGATAGTGTTGCAGAAGGGCGAAATTATACA